AAACCTTAAAACAAACATGACACATTGCACTGATTATGTGCAGTATTTTTGCAGTATTTTTTGATGCAACTTTTCTACTTCTGTTATTTGCTGTTGTTTCTAAAAAAAAAAAAAACTGCTCCCCAAGGGGACGAGTTAAATGCAGAGGTAAAATTCTCCAGTGTGAGATGAATAAAGTAAAATTATTATGATAGCAGGAAATTGATCATTTTACATTTTTTTTTCTGTTAAAGCAGCTTTATCTGTCTGAAAGGAAGGTAAAGAGCACTAATGCTGCTCCTCCCCATAGAGGAGATAAATACTCATTAAAAACAAATAAACTGTGAATACTTTCAGTGCCATCCGTCAAAGTAATTTCTAATTCTGCTTCTTTGAAAGTACAGTTTATAAATTATTTGCTTAATTACAGGGAATTGACCCTTTTCCAATCAATATGGACCTGTTGGTGGGAGCAGCAGGTCCTGTAGTAAAACCAGTCATCTCCATGGGGAAGGAGACTCTCTGGCTCTTTCTGGGAGACATAAAGGCTTTAAGAGAGAAAAATATATTTCCTCAGGTTTGGGATTATATTGCTGGGATTTTCCATAAAGAATCTCCAAAGGAAGGTAACCCATAAGCTAAGTTATCCTCGCTCAGATGCTGGGCTCATCTAACCACACAGAAAAGGTCTATTTATCTCTACCATAGACTCTTAGACAATGAGTTTACAAACACATCCATTCAGCCATGTATTATTTTAGGGGATGTTATTTATCTTTTAATATATTCTATGTATACAATTTCCTGGTTTGTTGTTTATCGCTGTTTTCCTTGTGACAGAAGGACATTCTTCTCATATACAGTGGCGCAAAAAAGTATTTAGTCAGCCATCAATAGAGCAAGTTCTCCCAATTAAAAAAGATGAGAGAGGCCGGTAATTTTCATCATAGATATACATCAACTATGAGAGACAAAATGAGAAAAAAAAAATCCAGAAAATCACATTGTCTGATTTTAAAAAAAATTATTTGCAAAATATGGTGGAAAATAAGTATTTGGTCAATAACAAAAGTTCATCTCAATACTTTATTAAATAACCTTTGTTGGCAATGACAGAGATCAAACGTTTTCTGTAAGTCTTTACAAGGTTTTTACACACTGTTGCTTGTATTTTGGCCCATTCCTCCATGCAGATCTCCTCTAGAGCAGTGATGTTCTCTTTTTAAGTGGGAGAACTTGCACTATTGGTGGCTGACTAAATACTTTTTTGCCCCACTGTATACAGTAACAGTCATGCAAAATTTCCCCACTTTCCTTGATGGGCCCTTGGCTGGTCCCCTACAATTCCTTTTTAAACATCCAAAATATTGTCATGATTTGTGGACATTAAGATCTGAAGAGAAGGTGCTAAGTCAGTGAAGGTGCTAAGGAGAGAAATGTCATCTATACTGAAAACATGACAGCCAGACTCGAATTTAGATGAGAGAGTGAAGGCAAAGCAAAGGAG